AGTCTATTTCAGGGGATACTCAAAAGCGAGGAGTCGGGAGAAGCAGAGCAAGCTCATCTTTCCTCCAAAATGAGAACAGGAAGGCGCGGCCAGGCTGACACTTTGCTGGATCCCCAGGGGGACTGGCTGAGGCTCCTGGAAGTCAGACAGGTAAGCAGGCCTCTCCCTAAAATGGACCTTTCAGCCTGGCAGCCTTGCCAATCCCTAGTGCCTCAACTCTTGGCACCACTCCTCCCCTCCACCCTCTTTCAAGTTTCTTTCCAGTTGGTTTACAACTATGCACAGGGTGAGGTCAGATTGTGCTGGTGGCCAACACCAGAAGTGAGAAGGGGTGCTTGGAAGAGGCTGACCCTGCCGCTTCCCACAGCACCCAGGAACCTACAGAAGAGCTGCTAACTGGCGGGTGGGCCGGCCAGAGCTTCCTCACCAGGGCGCAGTTCTGCCACAGAGGCCCGGGCTCGTCAGGTTACCCAGCAGGCAGCTAGGACTACATGAAAATAAACTGTATTTTTTATCTGGATTCCAAGAGCCTTATCCTAACCTTTTGCTTTTACTATAGTATCTCTGTGACCTAAGGGGCGGGATAAAAAGGGAAGAAAAAATACTGGGAAAGGAAACACAGCACTGCTTGGCACCTCTCTTGGAGCACAGGAAACTGCCACCGCACCCTCGGCTGCCTGGGGCCAGGTGCCAGATGTGTGTTGACTAAGAGCAGCTTAGCCATCTCCATGTGCCAGGAACCCGGGCCACAGCAAAGCACCTCCCATGTCCGGTCCTGCAGCAGTTACTGGCCTCCGTTATAGGCATAATCGGCCTTGTTGTGCATTATCAGCTTGTTGTCAACAAAGTAGAAGCTGTCAGAACGGGTCTCGTAGGGATTTTCAATCATCAGACGAACTGCAAGTCAGAGAAAGGAAAAAAGTGTAAGTCCGCCCCACGGGCTAGGTGGGAACTGAGCAGCCTCTCTAAAATTCATACGCTGGGCCTTCCGGAACATGTGAGTCCACTCTCCCAGAATAATGAAGACAGAACAGAGAGAGCCAGCTTTTGAGAGCTGGGGAGAACCGGGAATGCCAGAGGCCACCAAACTGGACATGATACCTACTTCAAGACAAGGGTGCAATCAACTCTCTGCCAGTCCCTCCATGGTGAGCCCCAGCCTGGACTCTGGGTCAGTGCCCAGAGAATGTGCTTGGTCTTTTACCAACACGGCCCACAGAAGCTTATTTACTCAGGCTTCCGGTCTGTTCCCCTAGACATTCTGGTCCAAATTCAGAAAGCTGTGCCTCCCTGTGCCACTGCCCACAGACACCCCTGGCAACCAAAGGAATTCTAGGTGTGCAATGGGTACAGAGGGACAAAGGGTAAGGAGACTTCTCCAGAGATGGCTCGGGGTATTAACTTGGAAATGATTCAGCAAAACCTCTGCCTGTCTTGGGATCCAGATTTAAATCTCCTGTTTGTTCAGGAAATTGCCCAGACCTCTTAAACTANATCAACTCTCTGCCAGTCCCTCCATGGTGAGCCCCAGCCTGGACTCTGGGTCAGTGCCCAGAGAATGTGCTTGGTCTTTTACCAACACGGCCCACAGAAGCTTATTTACTCAGGCTTCCGGTCTGTTCCCCTAGACATTCTGGTCCAAATTCAGAAAGCTGTGCCTCCCTGTGCCACTGCCCACAGACACCCCTGGCAACCAAAGGAATTCTAGGTGTGCAATGGGTACAGAGGGACAAAGGGTAAGGAGACTTCTCCAGAGATGGCTCGGGGTATTAACTTGGAAATGATTCAGCAAAACCTCTGCCTGTCTTGGGATCCAGATTTAAATCTCCTGTTTGTTCAGGAAATTGCCCAGACCTCTTAAACTATGCTGGAGAGTCCAGAGAATCAAACAGTCACTACCACTGGTCATTTTTGAGTTAATAATTACATGCTATTTTGAGTCCTCTGGAGGAAATGCTATTTTTCACCCGTTCTAAAAAGGTGAAACATTGTTTAAAGTTCTTTGAACCCACCCAGGTCAAAGTTATTTGGTTTAAATCCAGAATGTGACATTCATACTCTTCTAGCTTATTTGGTTTCAAGTAGAAAAGTTATATTGCCTTGGGTAAAAACTTGAAATGCTCCACATAATCTTTTCTTGCAAGTATCTATACAGTCCAGCCCAGCTTGGGGAGCTGAGTTCAAACCAGGCCCAGATGCTGTCATGAAAACTCTGTCCCACATCTCAGCAATCCTCATTTTACCTGGGGACAGCATTGCCACATGAGTAAAGAGTACCTGGTTGTGAGAATATGACAATTTTAAGGACCTGGGGTTCTGAGAGAACCAGTCAGTATATGTAGATCCTTTCCCACAACCCAACTAAATAAGTCCCACCACTATTCACAGGATCCCACTCACATCCCCATTGTTCGGGAGCAATTTTCCCTAATTCCTAATGGAGGATGCTACCCTGAGATAGCTAGCCCAAAGTCACAGAAACTAAAAAAGCCTTTCTCTTAAAGTTCTTTCTCTTTAATTAAAGTCCATCTCTTCCTGTGCCTAGCCTTCTCCCTCTGGTGCATTTCCCAGTTCTTCCACCGTACGTAGTATAGGATTTCTCTTCCTAAGACATTACTTCCATCGTGTCACTCTCTCTGCTCCAAACCTGTAACAGCCCCCTATTTCCTGGTGCATCGATTGATTCTAACAGTTTATCTAATCAACCTTCTACTTGCAGAGAATGAGCAAGAGGAGGTCCTCAGACCTATGATTCTCTTCAGCCCCAATCTCACCTCTAACTGTGATTAAGGGAAAAGAGAAGGGCTAACAAAGAGCGCCAAGCAAGGAGCTGATGTCCAGAACACAGCGGGAAGTCATGACCAACAGTGGACAGGAGAGGAGCTTTATCTAATCGGAATCCCAGCAGTTGTCATGGGCCTCCTCTTATCGCCCTCAGTCACTCCCTTTCCCATAGCAGGCACCTAAAAGGGATGGCTCGTATTCTTAAATCCTTCCATGCTCCCTTACAGGAAGTGTCAGAGTTTGAAACATTAGACAGGAACAATAGGAAATGAGAGGCCTGAGGTCAAATGACTAGAGATGCATGACGTCACTATTTCCCTCCTCTGCAAACTGAGGGCGTTGGACCAGATGGATTTCAAGGTTCGTTCCTCTAGGCCTAAGAATCTAGAATGCTGAACAAGTCAGGGGATACGTACTGACATCCTCAGAAAGCTGGGGAAACTCATAAATATGTTCACAAGTGTTCCTGCTGCTGGGGATACAGAAGCCAAAATCAAAGTCAAAGTTTTTCAGCAAGCGTTCCCGGAAATAGTGCCGTTCGATCATCCGGAAGTTTGACACAGGTTTGTCTCCCACAGTGAACTCCACCCTGCAAAAATAAATCTCTGTGAGCCCTACTTTGCCTCCTCCCTCCTCTAAAGCCAACCGAACTGAGAACATCCTTCTCTGTAAACAAGCAGAATGTTCTCCCCTCAGAGGATAGTGGTACTCACGTAGCCCCGACTGTCCGGAGGCGGAGAAATGCTGGTGTGAACTGATAGCGGACGAAGCGTCCTGCGCTGATATCCACATCTCCACCTTCCTCCTCCTCCTCCTCCTCTTGGCCTGAAAATGCACATAATCTTGAGTGTACCATCTCGGCAACACCAACCCAAACAGCACAACCCAATAACAGTACTAACACTAGCAGTAGGATGGCTGATATACACTGTGTGTTTAGCCAGGTCCTGTGCTAAATGCTACATGAGAATTCTCAGAACCATACTGTGAAGTGTTACTGGTATCTCCATTTTACAGATCAGGAAGCTCAAGCTCAGAGAGGTGAAGTAACATGTCCCAAGTCTCCCAAACAGTAAATGGGGGGAGCAGGGATTTAAATGCAGGTCGATTTGACTGAAGGCCTGATGACCAAGTTTATATGCTAATCACTTAACCAAAAGAATGAGACTACGAAAGTTGAAACTAGTCAAAAGGCTCCTTCAGAGAACGTAAAGCTTTCTGACAGGCAGCAAAGACAAACCCTGAGAAAGAATTCTGTTACTTAAATGGGAGACTCCGACCTACAGCCTTGGGGTATTGTACTTCCTTGGACGAATGCCTATTCCAGGCCACACCAGCCCAACACTGACCACCTGGGAAAGGGTGAAGCAGGTGGGCAGTGAACCAATGTGTGGGAGCCGAACGAGGGTCCACAAGGGTGATGATGGTCCTTGGTGTGGTCCTTTCTTGAACCCAGGAAATGAAAGATTTATAAAATGAATCAGAGAACCGTTCTAATGAGAACAAAGAGCTAGTTCCCTCAAGCAGCTGTACAGTGTCCAGCAAGGGTATTTTCTCCAGGCCTAGGCTGAACATGGCTGTGCCATAAGAGAAGTCTTTTTCAGCATTAAACATCTCTGCCTGTGACAAGTCCAAGAGCAACTGGGCAACCACAACGAATAGGGTTCATACCCAAAGACTCTAGAGCCCTGGTTCCAACACTATGATTCAAAGAGAGGCCAGCCAAATCTTCTCAGAACAATTCATGAGAACAAGTGCTGCTGGAGGGGTGTGACTCGGTGTGAGCATATTCCAAGTGAAATAAGATCCTTAAAGGTCAAGACGGGGGAAGTTGAAAATCAAAGTATTTTTGGAGTCTCTGCAGCTGAATTCAAAGCCACGCGCCTGAAGTCGTTTGTCCCGGGGTCCGTGAAACATCCTAAGTACTGGGACATGTGGCTTTGAGATGTGAACTCCACAGACCCAGGAAGCCAGCTGGCCCTGGCCCTCCCAATACAAGCTAAGGGCCCTCAGGCTGAAGCCTTTAGCACCTTGGTCAGTACTAGATTATAGCAGTGTACAGACTACTGGGTGGAGTGAAGAGACCCGGGCTCTGGCCTTGGCTGTGCAAGTAACCCGAGCTGAGACTGTCTCAGGAAAGTCTTTTGACTTCCCTGAGGTACTAAGTACCTGCCTTACCAAATCTACAGGCTCTTTCTGAGTAGCAATCAGGTGGGAAAAGCTTTGCAAAAAGAGTTATTAATACAGACCTCAGTTGACACTCTGATGGGTTATCTCTGCTGGTGTTCTAGTATCTAACTCCAGGGGGAGCTAACTCTCCAGTGATGGGTTCCGATGACAGTGTGGTCCCCCAGCCACAAATGAATCACCCTGGAACTGCATCACAGGCACAGGAAATGTCTATTCAAGGCTAATTTAAGGAAGCCCGAGTAGATGAGTTCATGGGCCTGGGCTTTCTGTTCATCCAGAAAATGGTGGAGATGAAAATACAAACTAGGACTCACTGGGAACTATGAGACACTATTTAAAGGAAAGAGAGTGAGAAGGGAGGTGAAACTGTCTCATGGTCTGGACTGGAATCCTCCGTGTCACGTTCCAGAGTGTCCCCAGAACTAAAAGCTCAGGTGAGCTTTCCTCATGACAGTTTCATTTCAAGGATTCCTTTCTTAAGTGGAGGTAATATGGTAAGACGAAAGAGCACAGGACCTTAGGAGAGTCACTGAGAAATTCTGAGCCTCAGTTTCCTTATCTGTAAAATGGGGATATTCACTCCTCCCAGAGGTAAACAGAAAGCTGTGGAACACAGTGACCAGCAGAGAGTACCTACTCAACAAATACCAACCTCTCAACGGTTTCAAGCCAGCACGCCCGGCAGGCTGAGCTTCGGGAGGAGGTCCTAGAAGTGGGACACGCTGGGGTCCATGACACAGCATGCAATGGCACACAATTCAAGCTTCAAAGGCCTTTTGCTCCAACTATCAAGTGACCGCTACGATATAGAGGCTTACCTGAAACACACGGCTTGGCAATCTCAAAAAGCACTGTCCCCGTCTCCAAATCTCGAATTTTGAAGCGGGTGAAATCAATACTGTAGATGTTGTCCTCGGGTTTACATAAATAATCTGAAAATGAGAGAGCGGGAACAACGCCGTTAAATAACTCTCCAAAACTACTGTTCGTATTTCTCTCAAGTTCTGAAGCAAACTTGGGGTTTTTTCTTACACAATTCACTTAAAACATACACAAAAACTTCCTCTTATAAGCAAAAGTTGTGTGGAGAGAACTAGGGGATCCAAGAAAGAAGAAAAGAGCATGGACTTGGTTTGGATGAAAGATGATCATCACACTTTTAGAAACAGGGATAAAAATAAGGATAAAAAAAAAATTGGAAACACCTCAAAAATGGCCTACAAACCTTTCATGAACTGTCAACAAAAGGGATGTCACAAAAGGGGAGAATTTTTTTAGAAATCCATTTTTAAACACTTATACTAATCTTAATGGCAAATGTAGTGCTTGTTTACCAAACTTCAGTATCACAAAGTAGAGATCAGCAAACTTATTCTGTAAAGGACCAGATCATAAATAATTTCGGCTTTGCGGCCGTTCAATCTCTGTCACAACTTCTCAACTCTGTCACTGCAGTGCAAAAGCAGCCAGACAACACGTTAATGAATGAGCATGACCGTATTCTAATATAACTATTTATGGACACTGAAATGTGAATTTTATATAACCATGTGTTGCAAGATAGTATTCCTTCCCCCTCATACCCCCCTCCCGCCCCCAACTATTTAAAAATGTAAGAAGCATTCTCAGCTTGTGGGCTGCACAAAATCAGGTGGTGGGCCATACTTACACAGGAGGCAAGACAATTTGCGGGCGAGACAGGGCATCAGGCCAAAGTGAAATAGAGCCCACAACAACCTGAGCAGCTAATCAAAATAATACTGATCAGAGAAAATTTCACTGATTTCTTTCTGCGATGACTCCTGACAGCATCTTCTCCACAATTCATGCTGGCACTTTTATCTGATCTTGCCTGCTTGTGTTAGCTGTTTCATGTTTTATAAGCTGTCTCTCCGTAAGATGGCAAACTTGAGAGCTACTGATTATTTTGTAACACCCAAAAAGGCTGAAATTGGTTCCGCACCTTTAACGGGTACTCAATAAATAACTTGCTGAAGGGAACAGAGTTTAAGAAGAGTAATAAAATCCAGAGGTCACCAAGCTCTGACCTGTGGCTTTCTCAAATAAGCTTCAGAGCACCAATCCCAAGCTCCTACACAGGACCTGAGTGCCCACCGAGAATGCTGCTTAGGGCCAGCATTTGACTGGCCTAATTCACCCCTGGTATCAGGAGAAAGCACGAGGTTAGAAAGACCATCTGATAAGTATTTCTGTACCTTCAGAGCCCCAAATGAAAACTGGGTCAGAACAGAAGCTGCTTTTTCACAATGTTTCAATGAAACTGAATAGAAAGACTTTCTAAAGATATACTCAGGCATGCAAAGGACAGCCCAACCCAAACAGCAGTGGAAAATGGAGGCATCAAAATATCCAGAATCAAATTAAAACTATTTTAGGAGATGGGAATTCCCTTTCATTCAGTCTGGACCAAGGCCCACCCCACAAACTTCTATCCCCAAGTCACTGGAGCTGCCACCAGTTCCCTGAGGTACACCTGAGCAGCCCTGGGCTGATAACTAAAGCAATTCAGCAGATAACATTATGGCAGCCTCTGCCATCAAAAGAGTCCTGGCGCTGCAGGGATAGAAGTCTGGAGTGCAGGCAGGATGGGCAGGACAAACAGGGCCTAACCAGGTGACACGCTTGGGGGGAAATAGCAGCAAGAGAGAAAATGTTAGGGCTTGGCTTGGAAGAGAACTGAAAGACAGAGGAGATCCAGGGTAGCGGGTGGGCAATATATTGATATTTCTTTCCACCCTCCCTTATAGCCATGAAAAGGTGTAGTAGGATGGTTGCATTTTATGCCAGAAACGCATTTCTGAAACCCCGACATAATTCTTTATTCACTAGGAAAGTGTCAAAAGCAGGATTCGCATTTCAGATTTTGTGCATAAACTGAAACTTTACCAATTTTAAAAAAATGTGGCAGAGTTTTAAATTTGCATGAAATGCCACGGCAATGAGTTTGAGAAAGAACACACCTGCAAACAAGGGGGCAATGCTTGGGGCCAAAAGGGGTAGGGCCCAAGGTAGGCTGGAAGCGGGGAGAGGCTGTCAGGAGCGGAGTGGAGGGAAACGCAGAGGGCTGAGGAAGTGGGAGTAGACTGGGTAAGGGACCTGGCTGAGCTGGAACGTCACTGATGTTGGGGGCTTCCAGGAGGAGGGGGCAGCGGGCCCAGTTACCAGATTCAGGAGGATCCAGTTAAGCTAAGGGGCCCCCTACCGAGGAAGTCCAGCTGAGGGGGGAAACGGCCCAACCTGAGGGCTCAGCTGGGGCCGGCCAAGGGGAAGCTCGGTGTGGCCGGACCCAGGAAAAGACAGTCAAGCTCAAGAGGAGCCTCTTCCCAACAAGGTCTAGGTGAGGGTGGGGAACGCAGGCCCGGCCGGGAGGAGCGGTGGGCAGCGTGGCCTGGCCGGCCGAAGAGGTTAAGGTGGCTGGGTGGACCCCGAGCCTGCCAAGCTGCGAGCAGCCAGCTCCGCTGAAGGCTGCAAGGGGCGCGGGACCCGGCGCGAGGGGAGGGCGCGACCGGCCCCGCACTCACTCTCGGTGACCCGGGTGAGGCGCAGGACGTGCTCGGGCCGGATGGTGTCCAGAGCCAGCAGCTCTTGTTCCGTGACCGCGGCCCCGATGCCGTCGCCGCCCGCGTGGTGGGGTGCCTGCCGCCGCGCTTTCAGCCGGTTCAGGACGCCGCCGCCTGCCTTCTTTTTCTCCTCCTTGCCAGCCACCAGCCCCCGGGGCCCAGCCGTCGACCCAGCGGCCGCCGCCTTCGGGTTCGACCCGCTCATCGCTCTGCCGCCAAGATGGCCGCCGCCTCCACAGCACCGTAACTATGGAGAGCGGGGGCGTGGGCCGGGGTGGCACCTGAGGAGGGGCGGGGCCGGTGGGGCGGGGCCTGCGGGGCCGCGTCAGGCTGCCCTTTCACAGCCTTGTTACAGCCAGGTGGTGGTGGGCCCTAGGGATGTCTGAGAACTTCGTACCCCGCGGACACTCCATCAGGCCCCCAGAGTCACCCCAAATGTTTTAAAGAAAGATCTCGTACGGTCAAATGACTCGTCATATAAATTGTGGTCAAGGCATCTTGAGAAAGTGTTTTTAAATCTGTAGCACAGAAGGTAAGTTAAAATAGTGATTGCTATATGCAAAGGCAGCTTTCCAATTAAATTGTCGTTCCTAAACCCTACTGTGCCAGGCTTTGGACTAGACACTGGGCTGGGCTACAGGGAATATAAGAATATGAATGAGGTTAGGGATGGGATCTGCCTAATTCACCACTGTATTGGACAGTCTAGTTAAAGCCTGACACGTGATAAGTGCTCAATAGTGATTGCATGAATGGATGAGCCAAGGAAAGCCTGAACAGTACCCTGTTATGGAGGAGCTCCCACCTTGTTGGGGAAGACTATGAAGTACATAATTCATTATGTGGCCCTCTCTTGACCAGCCCAGTAAGTATGAATGAACCAACCAGAGGACAAACCAGAGTACTGACTGCTTGTAAGAGGTACAGCAAACGTGCTAGGAGGAGTGGCCTGGGAGACCAGGGAGGGGCTTCACAGCGGGGACCTCTGCACTGAACCTTGGTAGTTAACCATAATTTCACCAATTGGAGAAGGTGGGGGTGGGGAGAAAGCTAGCCTCTTATACCCCAAGTAACACATACCCTTCTGCATTGGAGGCCTGGGCCTGTCTGATTTTGTACAAAGTGTGTCTGCTGGGTCTGATTTCACCTCTCAGCCAGACAGGCCAGAGTGAAACTCCCCCCTTTCCTCATGACCAGCCTCAAGACTTGATTTATGCCAGGCCTTTCTGGGTCCCTCTCACCTCATGGGAGGGGCTAACAGGCCTGGCCTCATTCCTGGACAAAATCCAAACCTGACTCCACCCAGTTGCCCAGCAGAGTGGAACAGTATGTGGTCAAGTTTCTATCTAAATGCTATCCTGTCTTTGACAAATTACCACTGGGTGGCACTTACCAACTGTTCAGGGAAATTTCAATAGATGGGTACAAAGAATTAAAGTCTTTCCCATTTCAAACAACTCTTTTTTAACCATTCAGCAGTGAGTGGTTACTGATAAATTTCCAGAACTTTTAATATGCTACTTGATTGTGAATCACCAAGAGGGGGGTTTAGCTTGCAGCCACTTCCCACTCCCTTGCTCACTGAAACTTTGTTCTCAAGAGCACCAGGCCTAGAGTTATGTAGACCCCAGCTTTTCTCTTGCTAAGGATAACAAATGTATTAGCCCCTTTACCTGCAATTCCACATCCAGGAACTTAGCCTACATGTATGCACAAAGATGTTTACTGTAGGACCATTTGTAACACTGAAAAACTACAATCTAGATGCATTCATGTTATGCAGCTGTTAAAAAGAATGAGATCCACCTACATGTACTAGTACGGAGGCATCTCAAAGATATATTACGTGGAGGGGAAAAACAGAATCCCATTTGTTTAAAATATAAAGCATATGAATATATAGATGTGTATTTGTAACTGCAAAATAAGGGGTTTGGATATACACTGAAGTGTTAATGGTGGTTCCCTCGGGGGGAAAGAGTATTGAAGGGACTAAATGGGGATATAGTCACTTGTGACACTGTTTAGAGCTACTCTGTACAACTTGATCACAACAAGCCTATGATCATGGGCTGTTTGTGTACTTATAAAAAAATTTAGGATCTATTTCTGGAAAGTAGACACTAAGCCAAAGTAGCCTTATTTTCTCATAAAATTAAAAGCAAACTAAAACTTAATCACTTTTTTCTATTGAAAAAAAATTAAATAAATACTGCCACATAAGGGACTCTCTCATCACGTATGAATTGAGGTTAAAAGGAAAAGACTATGTCTTTAGGAGAAAAAGAATATATATCCCTTTTTAAAAAGGAGTAGGAAAATATAGGGCTGTAACCTCCAATCTCCCTAAGGTAGGTCAAAAGGCTCTTTTACAAGTTTTTTGAAAAGTGCATATACTGAAACCCTGTTTGAGGGAAAAAGGAAAATAGAGGTTTACCGCATTAAATAGTAACCCCAAGGTTTCCGTGGTAGGACCTGGGAAGCTGGAGTAGAAAAGCTTGGCCTCCCTTTCACCCCAGCTCAGTGCTCTGCGAGTCCCTCTCCTTCAGCTGGTTGTTGGCCTCACTGTAAGAGGTGTGACAGTGGCTGTTTTCCAGGGTAGTCCCAGAGTAGCCAGGCAGTCTGCCTCAGATCAGGCCAGGCAGGTGGGGCCCGGAGCTGGTGCAGCCAAGGTAAGCAAGAGGGCTTATTCTGCTGAGACTGGGAAGTTCTGCCCACCTTAAAGGTGGCATGCATCAAATCGGCAAGTCCTGGCTGCGACTGCAGGCATGCCTTGTGGTCTGGTGCAGAGCACCAATCATTTCTCTAGCACCCAAGTCACTTCTTTCCCTGACTGTAAGGCTGTTTTTAAAAAGCATGAATTTACTATTTATAGCCCACCTGTTTTCAAAAAGAATTTCTGGTATATTCCAGTCATATAGCACAAGATTGGTGAGTGAAAAGTCACATAACCTTGTCGAGGGCAGTACTTTCAAACTTTTCAGTGCATATCCTGTTTGATCTAGTAATTCCTTAATGGAATTCTAAAGTAATAATTGCACATGTGCACAACAAATATTTAAATACATAAATATATGTATTATATATATATAATACATATATATATATGTATTATATATATATATATGTATGTATGTATGTATGTATGTATGCAAAATGAAAGCTAGGCACTAAACTCACCTGCATTATCCTCTAGGGATTAGAGGGGTAGGAATGAGTTTTCACATTTTGCACCACCCCATATAACTTTTTTTAAATGTACTTATACATTTTATATATCACTAAGTCTTAACGGGTTACTTTCTTTTTCAGAGAAGGAAGTGTATCATAAACTTCCATGTAACCATCACCCAAGCTTCATCAGTTATGTACATTCCAAAGCTTCCGTTTTTAAAATAGTACATCATACCATTACGAGCACAGGCTTTGAGGTTAGACAACTGAGTTCCAGTCCTCAATCTGCCACTTACCAGATATGTGACTACGGGCAGGCCATTTATCCCCTTTGAGCACTTGTCTCATTTATAAATCAGGCTAGTCACATGTCTTTCCTAGGGCACTTGTAAAGAGATGAAAACAGCAACAAAAAGCACTATGCTGGTGCCAGGGGCCATGTCTCATGAAAGGTCGCCAAGGCAATGTATTTAAGTGGCCTCTTTCTCCAGGATCCCTGTGTGGGGGTGGGGAGGCACACTGGGCAGGGCGAAGCCATGGAGCTAGACTGGAAAGTGCAGTGACTGAAAAGAACACTCAAGTCCGAGCTGAGAGGAAAGGAGCTGGGGACCAGCCTTGAGGAATCAACAAATGGATTCAAGTGGGAGCAGTGAGGAAACCCAGGAGAGCAAGTCTTAGGTCAAGGCCCACGCCAAAAAGCAAGTGGGGTTATTTTTTACTGATATAAGTGGCTAGCAACAAACAAAACTCATTCAACTCTTGGGCCAGAGTACTGCAGGGAGATGTCTGCCATCCCAGGTTGCCAGAGAGCAGAGGCAAGCCCACTCCAGAACCTTCCTGCTGCTCCTCCTTTCTGCCTTGACCCGCACCACTGCTATAGCAACAAGCTTTCCAGTAAATGTTGGAAAAACTCATCTCTCTTCCTCTATGGGGGATGAAGGGGGGGACTAAGGATGAAGAAAAGTCCGACACACCGGCTCCAGCCAACCCGGAGCCTGATTTCCTTAGCAAGATTAAGATCTGGACCCAAGGAGTGGTTTTATCCAACCCCGGCACTTGGCCCAAGATCTTCTGTCAGACAATTTCCCTCCCTGCAAGTCCCTAGAGCAGGGCTTCTACAGGTCTCTTCCCCAGTTGGCAGCTCATGCAAAGCTACTTGAAATAGTAACAGCTAAATCTGAATTAGTAAAGAACTCCAGTTATGGGTGGGCTCAAGCTAAGAAAGAGGCTCTGTGGGCCTCCTGGCTTACTTGGGCCCTGAGAACGGACTCCATCAACACTGGCCTCATTCTTACAGCTGAGCGCTGAATCCTGCCCTTCAAGGAATAACTCAGGGAGGTAGGCCAAATTCTCCCTCCCTCGCCCCAAACCAGCAGCCTCCATTCCTGCGTAGGGGAATACAGCAGGTAGGCTCAGGAACCATGTCACAGAGCATCACAGGGAAATGGAAGGCTGTAGAGAAGTGACTGAGAGCAAGAGTCCTCACGTAAAATCCCAGCTCTGCCTTTTGCTAGCTGCGTGGCCTTGGGCAAGTCACTTCACCTCTTAAAGGCTAATACCAACTGGCATGTTGAAGATTAAACAGAGATAACACCTGTAAAAGTGCTTGACACGGTCCCTACGCCTTTCAAGAGCTCAATAAAGGATATCTTCATTATTCTTACAGCCTTAGAAAGAACACGGGTTTTGCAGGCAAGTAGACTGGGTTTGAGTCCTGGCTTGACCATTTACTGACCCGCCTGGGATAGATTACTGAAGATTTTTTAGTTTCATATACCTCCACTGTAAAATGTGGCAGATAAGTTACAGGGGAAAAAATAATCCTTTCCACGCTTTCTGCCCCTTCCCAATGTATACTCAACAGTGACAACACACCAGAAATGGAAAAAGCAGAGAAAATGTCCCATGGCTTAGTCTGTCCACAAGCTCTGGGGGAAGCTGAGGGAAAGACGAGAGGAGGCAGCTACAGGCTCCATGCGCCTGGGAAGTGGGGAGACAGTCATGGCCTGGTGTTCTAGTGAAAGTAGAAACAAAACAAAATAACTTTATTTTTCCTTGAATGTGCTGCTGGTTACAGAAC